GTGTCCTCCCTTCTCAGGACGTCACGTTCGACGAGTCGGTTCCCTTCTACCGTCTCTTCCCCTACGGCTCTGCCCCTTCCCCGCCCCCGCCGCTCTTCCTTGCTCCCGGTCCGCCTCCGGTAGACCCCCTCCCGCCCCAGGGTCCTGCTCCCTCGGGAGTGTCTCAGGTAGACCCTCTCCCTGGTCCTGCGCCTATTCAGGTAGCTGTCGTCTCAGGTGCTGCTCCAGGTGCTGCGTCTGGGGGTGCGGAGCCGGGGAGTGCGGGGTCTGAGGGTGCTGGGTCTGGGGGTGCTGAGCCTGAGGGTGTTGAGCATGGGGGTGCTGAGTCGGAGGGTGTGGAGCCTGAGGGTGCTGAGTCGGAGGGTGCGGAGTCTGGGGGTGCTGAGCCTCGGGGTACTGCTTCGTCTGGAGGTCCTGCTGGTGCTTCACTGCGACTGTCCTCGCAGCAGCTGCGTGAGTGGCTTGTTCAGCGCGCACACCGTCGGAGTGGGGCTCCCGGAGCTGGCGAGCCTGGAGGCGCTGGAGCTGGAGGTGCTGCTGTTACTACTGGAGTTGGAGACCCTACGGAGCCTAGAGCAGCTGGCGCTGGAGGCGCTGGAGCTGGAGTAGCTGGAGTTGAAGGCCCTGGCGCAGGCGGCGCTGGAGATGCAGGAGCTGGAGCTGTTGACCCTGGAGCTGGAGGTGCTTGAGGCACTGTGCGGCCGCGCCCGTACTTCGTTCCCCTACTTCAGCAGGTTCTTGGTGTCCCGTCTTCTACTAGTCTTCCTCCTCCCTTCCTGTGTCCACCGCCTGACCAGTCGCAGCCGCCGTTACAGCCAGCCTCCCCACTGCCTGTTCCCTCTCCTTACAGTGAGCAGTCCGGAGGTCTTACAGAGCGTCGTGAGCCTGCGTCTCGTCCTGTCTCGCCTGTTCGCACTGCTCGTCATGCTCCTCGTTCGCGTCCTCCTCCTGTCCCAGGCATTCACACCATGGCACTCCGTCCTTCCTCTGTTCCGCTGCATGTTCCTCTGCCTGCTCCTCCTGAGTCCTCTCTTCCTGCGGTCCCTGACCCTGAGTCTGACCAAGCGCGTGCTGCCAGTCCCACAGTCGCTCGTCTCCTTGCCACTGCTGTCACTGACCCGTCCTTTGAGTCTGCTGCTGCTTCTGCTCTCGTTGCTGAGCTACTTGACTTTGCTGCTGCCTGCCGTCTCGACTACGCCTCTGCTCTAGTTGCTGAGTCTGTGCCTGCCAGTCCTTCGTCCGTTGGGGGTGAGTGTGCTCTTGGCACGGACGTCCTTGAGGACAGGCAGGAGGACTTTGAGTGTCTTGCAGCTGCTGTACCTCGTTTCGCCTCCTTGCTGCTTGCCCCTGAGGGAGACCCGGATGCTGCTGACATCCCGACCCCGCGCTCTTACGCAGAGGCGATTACGGGTCCTTACTCCTCTCAGTGGCAGGCAGCAATGGATGCCGAGATGGCATCCTGGAAGTCCACAGGCACTTACGTCGACGAGGTTCCCCCACCTGGGGCGAACATAGTCGATGGCATGTGGATCTTCAGGGTGAAGCGGCCGCCGGGTTCTCCGCCTGCCTTCAAGGCGCGCTACGTTGCTCGAGGTTTCAGTCAGCGACAGGGAGTTGACTACTTCCAGACCTTCTCCCCCACCCCGAAGATGACTACTCTTCGGGTGTTGCTGCACGTAGCTGCTCAGCGTGACTACGAGTTACACTCCCTGGACTTCAGTACTGCTTTCCTGCAGGGCAGCCTGCACGAGGAGATCTGGCTGCGCCGACCACCTGGTTTCACTGGGTCGTTTCCTACAGGTACCCAGTGGAGCCTCCGCCGGCCAGTCTACGGTCTCCGCCAGGCGCCTCGCGAGTGGCACGACACACTGAGGACTACACTTGCGGCTCTTGGGTTTGTTCCTTCTACAGCAGACCCGTCGCTGTTTCTACGCACCGACACGTCGCTGCCGCCCTTCTACGTCCTAGTGTACGTCGACGACCTCGTCTTTGCCACGGCTGACACTGAGGCACTAACCCTAGTGAAGTCTGAGCTGCAGAAGAGACATACCTGCACTGACCTGGGTGAACTGCGCAGCTACCTTGGCCTGCAGATCACCCGGGACAGAGCACGGCGCACCATCACACTGACTCAGTCACACATGGTGCACCAGGTCCTTCAGCGCTTCGGCTTCCAGTACTCCTCGCCACAGCTCACTCCTCTGTCTACCAGCCACTCGCTCTCAGCTCCACCTTCGGACGAGTCCGTAGAGCCGAGTGGTCCGTACCCAGAGCTTGTGGGTTGCCTCATGTACCTGATGACTTGCACTCGACCTGACCTCGTGTACCCTCTCAACCTTCTGGCTCGCTACGTGGCTCCCGGTAGGCACCGAAAGGTGCACTGGGATGCTGCGAAGAGGGTACTGCGTTACCTGTGCAGTACGTCGGGCATGGGGCTTGTGCTTGGAGGACGGGGTCCTGTTGTCCTCACTGGTCACGCAGACGCCTCCTGGGTTGACGACTCAGCTACGCAGCGGTCGTCGCAGGGTTACACCTTCAGCCTTGGGTCCGGCTCGGTTTCTTGGCGGTCTACCCGCTCGTCTTCAGTTCTCAGCTCCAGATGTGAGGCTGAGATCTACGCCGGAGCCATGGCTGCTTAGGAGCTACGCTGGCTCACCTACTTGCTGACCGACTTGGGAGAGCAGCTTCATTCGCCTCCAGTCCTGTACGTAGACAACAAGGCCATGATAGCCTTGTGTCAGGAGCACAGACTGGAGCACAGAACGAAGCACATCGCTCTGCGATACTTCCTTGCTCGAGAGTTACAGCAGCGTGGTCAGCTTCGTCTAGCGTACGTGGCCACTCGGGCCAACACTGCTGATGTCTTCACCAAGGCACTTCCGCCTGGTGTGTCAGAGGTCCACTGGTGATCCCCGATTGATCCTAGGGAAGGGTTACAGGCTCGTTTTCCTGGGGGGTTATGGGCGCACTGACCCGCTACTTAACAAGCCCTTTTATCCCAATGGTCTAGTGGTTGGGATTCTGACATGGTATCAGAGCGAAGGTCTCGGGTTCGAATCCCAGTGTGTGCACTTCGGGCATCCCAGTGCGAGGGGGGTGTCAGAGGTCCACTGGTGATCCCCGATTGATCCTAGGGAAGGGTTACAGGCTCGTTGTCCTGGGGGGTTATGGGCGCACTGACCCGCTACTTAACAAGCCCTTTTATCCCAATGGTCTAGTGGTTGGGATTCTGACATGGTGACCATCAGCGCTTTGTTACTGTGTTAGGCCTTATGCCTACGTTGCCTCACTTACTTACTGCCTGACTCTGCCTGTACTGTGATCTATCTATATACCTGCATGCTTGCACTTGTTAGGGTATGATCATTGTATTGTTTGTTCTCTTTATATAACTCTGCATGTGAACTGGCCTTGTGGCCCTTTGCTTGTGCTCGGACTGTGTGGTGACTTTGTGATCCACCCTGAGCTTGCTTTGCTTTGCTTCTTCTCTTGACTGGTCTTGTGACCATTGCTTGTTCTGGCTATCCCCCACTTCGCCTATGGGGGTGTGTCAAACATATATGCTTAGTTATATCTAGGCTTAGTTTATGTGTTTATAGTTGTCTATGCTATAGTGGGTTTAGCCTTAGGGGGTACAAATTTCTCTCCACATTGTACTTGTACCCCTTCCCTTTTCTTAGTCCACTATTCTCGCCTACTATTCTCACAATACCTGCACCTGCATGCTTACCCTTGCTAGGTTGAGATCATTGTCTTGCTTGTTCACCTTGACATATAACTCTGCATGTGAACTGGCCTTGTGGCCTTGTGCTTGTGCTCAGAATGCGTGGAGACGTCGTGATCCACCCTGAGCTTGCCTTGCTTTGCTTGACTGGTCTTGTGACCTCTTGTTCTCCCCCACTTTGCCTATGGGGGTGTGTCAAACATATATGATATAGCCTGTGTAGGCTGTAATGGGGTAGACACTATGGGGTACAGCTTTTACAGGTTTTCATACTTGTACCCATCTCCTTTCTAGTCGACATTCATTCCTCTTACATTTCTCACACGCTTGTATAATGACATATATAAATTGAAGACACAAAATTGTATAGTTCACTGTTGCCATTTCAACCGAGTCGAAAAAAATCGCGTCACAAAGCAGAATTGCCTGCAAGCGATTCTCTTCCAGCACACAGGTGCCAAGATGCGACACTTTGCAGTCATGCCAGCACATCCTGACTGGACGCGCAGCCAGTCAGGTCTTCTAGAGTCTAACTAAGCGAAAATGAGATTGCACTCGCTTCAAATTTGAAATTCGCTACCGTTTTGAACATAAAAATTATTTTAAAATTGTACATGCGCTTATAATAGGTAACGTTTCACAGGGGGTGCACTTATAATTGAGGATCGGCCATGAGCGCATTGCTCCAGATAGAAGCGCTTGCGCTTATAATAGGCCTGCGCTTCTATCCGGGGTGATACGGTATATGCATTTCTGTAATAGAAACAAAATAAGAACGGAGACAATGAAATTGTTTTAATTTCACAGAACACGCTTTCCCAACGGGCCAGGCCTCCCAGATAATTGCCAGGGCTTGTTTTGGGACAGCTCAGCGTCGAAGTTCTGGGTTCAGACCAATCCACAGCGCTCTGGTGTCGACGAGTCAATGCGGTGCTCCTCCAGCGCACGGGCCAAAACAGAAAGTGCGGGTGATCCGTAGATATTTGCTCGAAATTTGGACGGGCACCGTTCTGCACCGTGCTATAACTGAATGAACCAGAGAAAGTTGAAATGAAGTACAACGCAGAACCTTTGCGTTGTCCCCGACCCAACCCCGACTCCCCCTCCCACCCAAGTTCCCAAATCCCAATGCACGGTGCCATTAAAACTTCAATCGGTGATCATTCATTCCAGGCAGCCTGTTTCCCACGTTTGCTTTGCATCCACACCCCATTTGAAATAACTTTTCCGCTTATTTCGCCCGTGTTCGTGCGCCTCGTGATTCTCTCTGAGAGCTATGGAGCCGCGGTCCCGTCTACCTCTCGCAGTCCTCACTCTACTCGCCCTCCTCTCTCTCCTCGCCTCTTCAGTCGCTGCCGCCGACGTCTCAGCGGCCGATGCGCAAGCTGGCACGCTGGCCGTACAGGCAAGACGTTTTCCCGCATTTTCCTTGTAGCGGTCGCGATCCCATTGCCGTCGCGTTTCCTTTCGTGTAGCACAGTGCGAAACCAGGCCTAGCTCTTTCACAGTTTCCTTGCCATTCATGTTTTCAATCTAGACGACGTTTTTTCTCCATCCTCGTTACGAGCTGCATCGATATTCGCGTCCGTGTGTCTTCCATGGCGTCTTCTGAGGTGCCTCAGAAGTCCTCTATAACGTCCATTGCATCTGCCAGCAGCGGCGTAGCGTGAGTGGATCTCAGCCACGTGGATGATCTTTCCATTCCTCCCCCTTTCCTCTTTAACCCCACCACCCCCACCCCCCTCTTCTCCCCCTTCCTCCCCCTTCCTCCTCTCCCCCACCCCCCCCCCCCCTTCCTCCCCCCCCCCCCCGCCCCGTCCCGCCCGCAGGCCGCGACAGCTACTGCTAGTAGCAGCGGCGTGGCGGGCGTGGATCTGAGCCGCGTGGTTCAACTTTTGAACGTGTGTGCTTGTAACGGGTATGTGTCATCCCTATCCCCGCCTGCAGACCGCCACCGCCACTGCGACCAATAGTAGCGTGGCGGGCGTGGATCTGAGCCGCGTGGTGCTCCTGTCGCCGTGGGCGCCGCGCGCGTTCCTCTACAAGCAATTTCTCAGCGACGCGGAGTGCGACCACATCATCGCACGCGCGACACCACGCCTCGAACGGTGCGTGGGGGCAGAGTGGGGGGTATGCGGTGGGGTCGCGTTGTGAATGGAGGGCGGAAGATGTGGTGGGGTCGCGTGGTGAATGGAGGGCGGAAGATGTGGTGGGGTCACGTGGTGGGGAGAGTGAGGAATGCTGGAAGGGAAAGGAAAGGAATGGACCCGAAGATTAGTGGTTGAAAACTTCTTTTTGACCGGATCTCATCAAGATCCAATAACAGACAGACACACACAGACACAGACACAGACACAGACACAGACACAGACACACACACACACGCACACACACACACACACACACACACACACACACACACACACACACACACGGAGAAAACTAAACAAACAAGCAAAAACCAAGCAAAACAGACCTACAGGGTCCGTTCGTCCTCCCCTCCCCCACTCCCTTGTCAGCTCCGGCATGGTGAACAACGACGACGGCAGCAGCTTTGTGAGCGAGATAGCACGCGAGTCACACGGGTTCCTCCCTCCTCCCCCTCCCCCTCTTTCCTCCCCCTCCCCTCTCCCCTTCTCCCCTGCACCTGTCAGCTCGGGCGTGGTGAACAACGACGACGGCAGCAGCTTCGTGAGCGAGATCCGCACGAGCTCAGGCGCGTTTCTCAACAAGGGCGAGGACGCTGTCATGCGAACAGTGGAGCAGCGCATCTCCGAGTGGACCTTCCTCCCACTCCAGAACCAGGAGGCACTGCAGGTGAGTGTGGGCCCCTGTGACTCGTTATACTCGTTATAAGCTGCTGGTAGAGTCTCCTGTGCACGCCCCAGTGGACGATCCTGCCCCTGCAGAACCAGGAGGCACTCCAGGTGAGGCGCCTCTGTGACCAACTCAGGCGCGTTCCTGAACAAGGGCGAGAACGCTGTGATGCGAACAGTGGAGCTGCGCATCTCCGAGTGGACCTTCCTGCCCCTGGAGAACCAGGAGGCGCTGCAGGTGAGGCACCTGTCACTCTTAATACTCGTTATAGGCTCCTGTGCATGCCCAGTGGACCTTCCTGCCGCTGCACAACCAGGAGGCGCTGCAGGTCAGTCCTTTGTCCCTATGACCCATGTCATGTCCCTATGACCCATGTCATGTCCCTATGACCCATGTCATGTCCCTATGACCCATGTCATGTCCCTATGACCCATGTCATGTCCCTATGACCCATGTCATGTCCCTATGACCCATGTCCCTATGACCCATGTCCCTATGACCCATGTCCCTATGACCCATGTCCCTATGACCCATGTCCCTATGACCCATGTCCCTATGACCCATGTCCCCTCCCCCAGGTGCTGCGCTACACCAAGGGCCAGAAGTACGAGCCACACGTGGACTATTTCCACGACGCTGTGAACACGCAGAGGGGCGGCCACCGCTACGCCACCGTGCTCATGTACCTCAATAACGTGACGCTGGGCGGGGAGACTGTCTTTCCCAAAGTGAAGGATGACTCACCTAAGGACGAGACTTGGTCCGACTGCGCCAAGGGCTTTCTGGCTGGTGAGTGGTGGTTGGTCTGAGCGTGCAGCAGGGCCCCCGCTACGCCACCGTGCTCATGTATCTCAACAACGTGACGCTGGGAGGTGAGACCGTGCTCCCCAAGGTCAAGGACGACTCGCCGAAGGATGAGTCTTGGTCGGATTGTGCCAAGGGCTTCCGGTCAGTAGTGGGGGTGGGTTGTGGGGGAGGTGGGGGTGATGGGGAGTAGCATGTTTGGTTCTGGCTGAGGACAATGCAGGTGGTGCGACCATGAGCTGTTCTGTAGGGCAGGCCGGGAGTGCATGCAAGTGACTCTCTCGGTCTCCCTCTCCCTTCCTCCCTCTTTTCTCCCTTTTTCCTCCATCTCCACTCTCTCTCCTCCCCCTCCCCACCCCACCAGTGAAGCCACAGAAGGGAGACGCACTCCTCTTCTTCAACCTCCACCCTGACGGCATGCCCGACCCCGCCAGCCTGCATTATGCCTGCCCCGTGCTGCACGGTGCTAAGTGCTCCCATGCCCTTCCTCCCTTACAAGCATGCTTTACAATAGAGCGAGCCCAGTGATCATTTTCCCCCCATCTGCCTCGTCCCACTCACCCCACCAGTGAAGCCAGAGAAGGGAGACGCACTCCTCTTCTTCAACCTTCACCCTGACGGCACACCAGACCCTGCCAGCCTGCACTATGCCTGCCCCGTGCTGCACGGTGTCAAGTGGTCTGCGCCTAAGTGGATCCACGTGGCAGACTTTGATAAGCCGCTCGCCGCTGCTGATGCTGGCACTGATGACAATGGTGCTGCTGCTGATGGGGGTGACGGCTCGTGCACGGACAGCAATGCATAGTACGTAGAGGGGCTGTTGAGTCAACTCAAAAGTCAATCTGTGGAATACTAAGGGGGTGGTGTGCGGTGTGGGGATGTTCAGTGGTGCGGAGGAGTGCAGCAATGAAGGCGAGTGCAAATGCGCCACGGAGTGTTCCATGGCATGGGTGGGGCGCATGGGTTGGGATGCATGGTTGGGATGCATGGTTGGGATGCATGGTTGGGATGCATGGTTGGGTTTAGGGGAGGGGAGTCAAGGGGACTCATGTGGCACCCTTTGATACGCCGCTGGGGATTGGTGATGTTGATGGTGATGCTGATGTTGATGCTGGTGATGATGGTGAGTGGGGGGTTGGTTGGCATGGACAGCAATGCATAGGGAGTGGAAAGGCTGCTACAGGATGAGATGAATGTTGCATCCTGCTGCCCTCCTGTATTGGAGTGGCATAGGAAGTATCTCATCTTCCTATACAACTGCCCTTCTGCATGCGCCCATGTCATCTCCACCTATCCCTTTCCCCCGCATGTCTGATTATAGTGTTGGGGGTGCCACTACCTCAAGTGCGCTCATGTCACTCACTCCACCATTCCCCTTCCCTTGTGTGTGTGTGTGTGTGTGTGTGTGTGTGTGTGTGTGTGTGTGTGTGTGTGTGTGTGTGTGGGTATGCACGCGTGAGTGCGTGTGCATGTGTATGTACGTGTGTGTGTGTGTGTGTGCGCGCGCGCGCCCCTGCGTGCTCGCCACAGCTGTCAGTACTGGGCGGAGGCAGGCGAGTGTGAGAAGAACCCCGTGTACATGCACGAGGCGTGCCGCAAGGCCTGCAAGGTCTGCTCTTAGTCACCATCTGTCTCTCCATACCTCTCCCACTCCGAAGCTCCCTTGTTGAAGGCAATCTGCCGTGCCAGGATGCCTGTGCGGAAAAGACATGCTCTTGAGGCATGCATCGTGGGGTTTTGCTATCCAGGAACCTAATTCCAGGGTAGCAGTCAAGCAGACTTGCTTGCCTGTGCTGAAACGTGCTATGGCTTGTGGCAGGACAGGCAATCTGCACTTGTTGCATGGTGTTTAAATCTTTGATCTACCCGACTGCGTTGAATGTGTACAGGTGTTGTATTGCCTGCTCTGTTATTCCTTGCGTTTTTTGTGGCTGATTAATTTCACTCGTACATGCATGATTTGAACAATGAACAGAAAAAACTGCGAGAAGTGAATATGAGAAGTTTCGAGGAACAAGTAGGAGTGTTGATATGATGACAAGGGAGAGCTAGATGTTTTGCAATGTAAATAGTTTTTGGGTTCTGTTTAAATAACGTTTTGTTTTAACGTTCCCCTCGAAATGATGTATTATCGAGTGCGCGGCAGTTACTGTCGCAGCAGTAATGGATCAGCCCCATTTCCGTGTCGAGCCGAACTAACAAGGGGCGCGATTTTCGCTGCTTGCGCATTTCCTGTGCTTCTTTCCGTCGTGGATCCAATTTCCCCCCTTACCTTGCGAGTACATTCACAACGCAGGGCCGACTATACCGCGCGGGCGAACATGTTGTACACGCCTAAGAGGCGAGTAGACTGCGCGGGTGTGACTTTAACGGGGCTTCGTTGCGCAATGCACCGTCGGGTAACACGCCCATTGCGGGGGAATAGTTTCACTATGTCGTAGGGTGGTTTTTGAGTCGACTTAAAAGCGCCCTTTGCGGGGGAATAGTTCCACTACCGTATGTCGTAGGGTGGTATGGTAGAAGGCGGCTTGAGAATCGTCTCAGAAGATTGATTTCTGCTAGTGGGGTGTTAGAGTGAGGGGCGGAATCCATTCCTTGCGGGTTATGATTCCGGACTCGCGGCACATTTTACTCGCGGGATTTATTGAGTGCCGCTCAAAAGTAACATGCATTCATCCGCATGGCAGGCGGGAATTTGGGGATGCGCTTAGCCTTGCATCGCGCAGCGGCGTGCTTTTTAGGTCGACTTATTATTCGACTTAATCCTGCGAGGTGACTTTTGAGTCCTGCCCATTTACGACATGGAATCGCGAAATGTAAGCGGCCCTGCAGCGGGCATTGGCGTGATTCTCGGATGTGCGAACCCGCCGAACGGGCCGCCGCATCTACGATGCGACGCGCGAGAGCTTCCGCCTCGTCTGGCGCAGCGGAATGGCGCGGAGAATCCGCCTGTTCCCACGCAGGGGCGGAATGCCGGGGGGGTTGCGCCGGTTTCGCCCGTTCCGCACGGTCCGCCCATTCCGCCTGTTCTCGCGGGGGGGAATGGCGCGGAGACTGCGGTTGAAGGCGCGCGGGCGGAAAGAATTCCGCGGGTCGAGAGAGCAGTGGGTGAAGCTGGGCAGGGAGGGAGGGAAAAGGGGAGCGATGCAGCGGAAACAGGGGGATGCCGCGGCGGAGGGGGCAGGACAATGTTATGGTGTGGTGGGAGCGAGGGAGGAGTGCTGGCCGGTGGTGGTGGCGGGATGGGGGAGGGTCGCTTGGGAAATAGCGGGGTGGGGTTTCGCGGGTTAGAGGGCGGAAGGGGACGGGCCAGAGGGTCACATGCAGGTGGGGAAGAAGCGCGGGAGGGGGAAGGGGTGTGGGGAGAAGATGGAGACTGTGTGGATTTGGTGGGAGAGGATGAGGATGATGAGGAAGAGGAGGATCGGGAGGAGGGGAGGGGGAAGTGGGGACATGAGAAGTTCTACAAGTGTGGGGAGTGTGGAAAGGCGTTTGCTACCCGGTCGAAGTTAAATTACCACGTGGCCACCCACTCGAAGCAGGTGTGCTTCCCTCACTCACTCCCTCACTGCGTCGCTCCCTCACTCACTCGGCTCTCCCTTTCTCTCACACTTCACACCTACCCTTTTCCCTTCATCCCCTCATCGTTTTTAAGTTAACTCAAAAGTGTACCTGCTTTTTTTTTCCCCCCTCCTCGTCCCCTCTCTCCCTTACTGCCTCTCTCACTGCAGTTTGTGTGTCCGCATGAAGATTGCCAAAAGGCATTTTCATTCAGCCACCGGTTAAAGGAGCACATTCTCACTCATAACCCCAATACTCCCCAGAGTAAGCTTCCCTCGCCCTCTCCCTCTCCGCCTTCCCCCTTTTTCCCTATTCCCCTTTGCTTTTGCTTTTCCCCCCTTTCCTTCTTCCTCGTTCTCTCCTCTCACTCCCTCCTCGTCCCTTCCTGTCCATATTGCAACCTCCCATCCCAATCCTCCCCCTCGTCCCCCGTCCTGTGTCACATGTCTCCGCGGTCTATTAGGTGCATCTCTTTTCTCCTCGATCTGTTTCCTTCCTCACCCCCAACCCCCGCAATCCCCAGCACCCATGCCCTCATCCCCACTGCGCTCGAATTTTCAAGCGTCGACGCGACATGGTACATCATGCAAAGAAGCAGCATGGGGAGGAGTGGGGGAGTAGGGGCAGGGTAATTGGTGTGTCTGGCGGGGAAGAGAGGTGTGTGGCCAGGGTAATGAGGGCGCATGGGGGGGAGAAGGGGATGAGGGTGCATGAAGGAGTGGTGGGGAGGCATGGAGGCGAGAAGAAGGCCAATTTTGTCAGTGGGGACGAAAGAAGGAGAGACGAGGAGAGGGACGAAGAAGGAAAGAGGGGGGAGGAGAGGGAAGAAGAGGGAAAGAGGGGGGAGGAGCGGGAAGAAGAGAGGAAGGGGGAGGAGAGGGACGGGGAGAAAAGAAAGGAGGAGGATAGGAACACAGGAACACGATGTTCCCGGGAACACGGATTAGAGGGCGGAAGGGGATGGGCTATAGGGTCACATGCAGGGGAGAAAGAGGCGTGGGAGGGGGGATGGGTGTGGGGAGAAGGTAGGGACTATGTGGATTTGGTGGGAGAGGATGAGGATGATGAGGAAGAGGGGGACGATGAGGAGGAGAGGGGGAAGTGGGGACATGAGAAGTTTTACAACTGTGGGGAGTGTGGAAATTCGTTTGCTGCATGGTCAAGGTTAAGAAATCACATGGCCTACCACTCAAAGCAGGTGTGTTTCTCTCTCTCACTCACTCACTCACTTGCTCACTCGCTGGCTCATTCACTCGCTCCCTCACTCACTCCATCGCTCACTTCCTTGCTCGCCCGTTCGCTCGCTCTCTCCTGTTTTCTCACACTTTCACAGCCGGCTTGTACCGGGTGCCACCGGCTTTACCCGTTTCCCTTCTTCCCCTCTTCCTTTTCTAGAAGTCTCAAAAGTGTATCTGTTCTCCTCTGCGCCTCTCTTCCCCTCGTTCCGATATCGCCCCTTTCACTGCATCCCATGTGTTCGTGGATGCAAGGAAGCAGCAGTGCATTCGAATTTTGAGTCGACTCAAAAATCGCCTCATCACACACGCAATGGAGCAGCAGTGCATTCGAATTTTGAGTCGACTCAAAAATCGCCTCATCACACACGCAATGGAGCAGCAGTGCATTCGAAGATAAGGTACAAACTCTTTCACTGCAATGGTTTTCCATCCCTTGTGCCTCTTCCACTGCAGTTCGTGTGTCCACATGAAGGTTGCCAAAGGGCATTCGCATTCAGCTACCTGTTGAAGGGACACCTTCTCATTCACAACTCCGATGCTTCCCAGGTGAGCTCTCTTCCCTCACCCTCCCCTCCCACCCCCTCGCTTCCCCTCCCCCCCTTTCCCCCCTCCCCCCCCCCCTACCTCCTTGCCTCGTCCCCTCTTTTCCCTTCCCTCTTCAAAGGGAATTCACGTTCAGCTACCTGTTGGGTTGGGGCACCTTCTCATTCACGCTCAGCTACCTGTTGGGTTGGGGCACCTTCTCATTCACGCTCAGCTACCTGTTGGGTTGGGGCACCTTCTCATTCACGCTCAGCTACCTGTTGGGTTGGGGCACCTTCTCATTCACGCTCAGCTACCTGTTGGGTTGGGGCACCTTCTCATTCACGCTCAGCTACCTGTTGGGTTGGGGCACCTTCTCATTCACGCTCAGCTACCTGTTGGGTTGGGGCACCTTCTCATTCACGCTCAGCTACCTGTTGGGGCACCTTCTCATTCACAACTTCGATGCTTCCCACATGAGCTCGTGTTTTGAGTCGACTCAAAACACATCTCTTTGCTATCCCTCTCGCCCCTCCCCGCTTCTCTCCCCCCGTTTCCCCTTTCCCCCTTCCCCCTTGCCTCTTCCCACCATTTCACTTCCCCTTCTCCTTTCCCATTTCCACGTTCCCTCTTTCCCATCCTCGTCCTTTCTCATCCCTTCTTTTCTCTCCTCTCATTCCCTCCTCGTTCAACCGTCCTCCCTGACTCGCCTCTCCTGCAATTCAGCCAACTTCCTTGTATTTGTGGTGTTGCTTCTTCTGCTGAGGAGACATGGTGTATGATGCAAGGAAGCAGCATACTAGCAGCATGCAAGCAGCATGCGAGGAAGCAGCAGTGCGGTCGAATAGGTGCAATCTAATTCTCAGCAAAATTGTCACTGCAATCATTTTTCCATCCTTTATTGCCTCTTCCATTGCAGCATTTTGTGTGTCCGCATGACAATTGCCAAAAGGCATTCTCATTCAACTACCTGTTAAAGAGGCACCTTCTCGTTCACAACCCCCATGCTCCCCAGGTGTGCTGCCCTCGCTCTCACCCCCTCCCCCTCCCCATTTTCCCTATTCCCACTACCTCCTTGCCTCTTCCCCCTTTTCTCGTCCTCCTCTTTCTCCCCTCTCACTCCCTCCTCGTCCTCCTCTCCTTCCCTCGTCCCTTCCTGTCCGTATTGCAGCCTGTCGTTCCATACTCTCCTCTTCATCCGACTTACCTCACTCGCCTTCCCTACAGTACAGACAAGCTTCAAAAGCCTCCTCTTTCTCACCTCTCACTCCCTCCGATTTGCTTCTCAAGTTTTGAGACGTCTCAAAACTCAATTTCACTATCATCAGTGCGGTCTATTAGGTGCAGCTTGTTTTTCCCCTACCTGTTTTCTTCCCCACCCCCAACCCACCCCCCCCCCCCCCAATCACCAGCACCCATGCTCTCATCCCCAGTGCCCTCGGACCTTCAAGCGCCGAGACGACATGATGAAGCATGCATGGACGCAGCATTGCAGGGAGATGTGGAGTGGGAAGAAGCTTCAGTATGTAAGAAATCCGCATTGGGAAGAGTGGGGGAGTGGGAAGGGGGTAATTGGTGTGTCCGGTGGGGAGGGAGGGAGTGGGATCGGGGTAGAGAGTGTGCACTGGGGGAAGAAGGGGAAGGGGGCGGATGGGGGAGTGGTGGGGATGCATGGAGGCGAGAAGAAGGCCGATTTTGTCAGTGGGGACGAGGGAAGGAGAGAGGAGGAGAGGGACGAAGAAGGAAAGAGGGGGGAGGAGAGGGAAGGAGAGAGGAAGGGGGAGGAGAGGGGCGAGGAGGAAAGAAAGGAGGAGGAGAGGAAGGAAGAGGCGAGGAGAGAGGAGGAGAGGAGGGAAGAGGCTTTGAGGCAGGAAGGTGAGAAGAAAACGAGTGTTGTGATGGGGAAAGAGGGAAGGAGAGGGGAGGAGAGAGGAGGAAAGGGAAGAAGTGGGGAGGAGAGGGATGACGAGGAGGGAACACCCCTTTTTCTTCCAGGGGAGGGTGGCGTGGGAGCGGCAGTGGTGCAGGTGCAAGGGGTGGGCAGCGCGGTTGGAGGAGGGAGGGGGGAAGAGGTGGGAGGAGGTCAGTTGTTACTTGGCTGTACGGGCAGCATAAGGAGAATGGTGATGCCGCTGCATGGGAGGGGCAGCGATGGTGACGGAGGGAGGGCGAGAGGGGAAGGAGAAGTGGAACCCCTTTCTGAAACTGAGGGTAGTGTGGGGAAGGCAGTGGTGCAGGTGCAAGGGGAGTGTAGCGTTGGTGGAGGAGGAGAAGAAAAGAAGAGCAAAAAGAGGAGGGAATAGGAGGGAGGGGAGGAGAGAGTACCCTCTCCCCTCCATCCCAGGGGGGATGGCAATGTGGGGAGTTGGGAAGTGAATGAGTGTGAGGGAGAGGAGGAGGTAGAGGAGGAGGGAGAGGAGGAGGGAGAGGAGGAGGTAGAGGAGGAGGGAGAGGAGGCGGATGCTGCGGCTGAGCAGAAGGGGCTCACAAGCGTGCAGGAGGGGCGGAAGAGGAAAAGGCATGCAGGAGGAGGTGTTGTGAGGGAAGGGTCTGGCTGCGGGAAAAGGCACCTGAAAGGCCACCTGAGGTCGACCAAGAGGCACCTGAATAGGAAGGTGCATCGTTTTGTGGGGAGGAGAGGCCGCCAGCTCAACCTGAGGAAACACCTGAAGGCAACAGAGAAGGAGCACCTGAGGCGGGAAGACACATTCTCCTGAAGGAGGAGGAGGTTCACCTGAGGCAGCAGGAAGTACACTTAAAGCATCAGGAGGAACACCTGAGGCAGAAAGGGTACCTCCTGAAGCAACAGAATGAGCAGCAGGAGTTATACCGATTTTTGAGTCGACTCAAAAATCGAAACAAAAAGAGCTCCTCCTGAGGGAACGGAAGGAGCAGCAAGAGATGCACCGGAGGCAGCAGGAAAAACTTTTAAGGCAGCAGGAAGAGCTCCTGAAGCAGCAGAGCGAGCACCTGAACGACCAGAAAAACCACCTGAAGCGTAAAAGGCAGCACCTGGAGCTTCAAGTGAGAAACACCTGGGTTAGGAAGGATCGCTGCTTTATACGTCCTTGTGGTTTGAGAAGAGAGGTTGGGGTGAGGGATGGGGAGGGAGGGAGGATGGTGGAGGATGGAGAGGGAGGAGGGAGCGTGGTGAAGGTGGAGAGGATGGAGGAGAGTGTAGTTTTAGAGGATGGGGCAGGATTGTCAATCGGTCTTCTGACGTGACATACCGTAAGTAAACCCCCGGATATAAGACCAAGGGGTTTTATCAAAATCGCACAAAAAAAAATGGGGGGTCAATAAGTGGCATACGTATTAGGTATAAGACCTGGGTCTCTACAAAATGTTTTTGAGCCCAACAAGTGAATGGGAAGTGCTCCATTTTTAGCACCCAAAATAAGAAATATGGCAATGAGTGGTGGGCAGAAGGGCGGTATGATGGGGAGGAGGTGGAGACCTGGGTTGCTGGACAGGATGGGGATTAGGATAATGTGCCTGTGCACGTGCGTTTGGTTGAGATGCCTCCTTGATGAACATGGAAAAGGACAAATCTTCATTCCTTACGCTACAACTACTGTAGGAGAGGAGACAGACACTGTATACCATCCATTACCAACATCAGCAGCAGCAGCACCCACCAGGACACCACCAATGGCAGCACCAGGGCATGGCACTTCCAGGGGTGCTGCTAGCACACCTGGAAAAGAGAAGACGCTAGCAGCTGGACATGCCATCACAGGTGCAAAGAGAGGGTGACTTCTGAGTCGACTCAGCAGCAGGTGTCACACAATCGCACTGCAGCCCACACGCAGCTCCCCTGTCCCATCACAGCTGAAGTGAGCTTTGCGACGTCCCAACAGGTGCAGACCTCTCATCCCTTCACAGCAGCACGTGCCTGCACTGCATAACAGTGCCTTTCATGACTCAATCCCACACATTCTCCCTCTATCAGCCACAACAATGGGCAGGCTAGCAGCACTCGCCAGCAGTCGTGCATGGCTAGCAGCACTCGCCAGCAGCCGTGCCTGCAGCGGCTGAAAGAGGGTCACGCCAGTAATGGCAGTCCCGAAGGCCAAAGATGCCCCCTTCAGTCCAGAAGCCGGCCTTGCATTCCCTCACAGCCTTGCATTCCCTCACAGCCTTGCATTCCCTCACAGCCTTGCATTCCCTCACAGCCTTGCATTCCCTCACAGCCTTGCATTCCCTCATGCCTCCCATGCCTCCCATGCCTCCCATGCCTCCCATGCCTCCCATGGCCTCCCATGCCTCCCATGCCTCCCATGCCTCCCATGCCTCCCATGCCTCTCACAATCGCAGCGAGCGGCTGGCAGCACTTGCCAGCAGCCGCGCCCGCAGCGCCACGTCAGCAGCGGCGCGGTCCCGCCCCTCGCGGCGCTCCCTCTGGCGCTGGTTCTTGGCGCGCTTGGGCGCCAGCCTCTCATCGCGCGCCACAAACGCCAGCCTGAACCGCTCTGCTATCGACAGCTGTGGCGCCTCTGGTTCCTGATGTACCTCTTGTGGTACCTCCGTTCCTGACTTCACCTTTGCTTGTGCTCCTCCCATCGCCAATCCTCTCCTCCGCCCTCTTGCCTCCGCCTCTCCTCTTATACCCTCCTCCCCATCCTCCTCGCCTTCCCCCTCCTCCTCGTCCTCTCCAGCGCCCCTCTCCCACACTGCCGGGGGGATACCGACCAGGTGCGGGGTGTCGAGGGGGAGAGCCGGGAAGGCTTGCAGGGGGATTCGCGAGAGGAGTGCGGAGGGGAGGGCAGGGATGGAAGTGGGGAGGTTAGGAGGAATGGACGGGTCGGAGGAGGGAAGAGTAGTGGGGATGTGACAGTAAGGGGGAGGCAGAGAGTGGGGGGGAGGAGGAGAGGGCGGGGCGGGGTTGAGGAGGATACGCGGGCACTTGGAGGCGAGCAGCGCTGCTGAGTTGGGGTCAGCGTCGGGCTGAGAAGGGCGATGGGCGGGTGGAGGGGAAGGGAGAGAATGCGAGAGAGAGATTGCGGGAGAATGGGGTTGGGATGGACACAGGGGTAAGGCAAACGCACGTTGACTGTCCGCCGACAATGGAAGAGCAGGTTGCATAGGAAGGAGTGGTGAGAGTGAACTCGTGCGGGTGACGGGCAATGGTGGGGGAAGGCGATGAATGGGAGTGGAGTGGTGGGTCGAAAGCATGGGTGTGAGAGGGTGAAGGTGAAAGCAATCAGAAGGGGCACTGCCAAAGGGCACACATAAGGGGCGAGGGGCACAAGCAAGAGGCACAAGCAAGAGGCACACGCAAGAGGCACACGCAAGAGGGGAACACGCAGGGGACCCACGCAAGGGGCACACGCAAGGGGCACACGCAAGGGGACCCACGCAAGGGGTACACGCAGGGGACCCACGCAAGGGGCACACGCAAGGGGCACACGCAGGGGACCCACGCAAGGGGTACACGCAGGGGACCCACGCAAGGGGCACACGCAAGGGGCACACGCAGGGGACCCACGCAAGGGGCACACGCAGGGGACCCACGCAGGGGACCCACGCAAGGGGCACACGCAGGGGACCCACGCAGGGGACCCACGCAAGGGGCACTGGTGAACAAACCATCCCCACCATCCCCACCATCCCCACCATCCCCACCAACCACCCAGCCACCCAGTCACCCATGCCCCCCTCCCCTCCCTTCCCACCCCCCACACACCAACACACTCACCCAGATGAGCCACCGCAGGGCAGGAACCCTCTCCTCCAGTCGCTCCTCCACCTCCTCCCAACTGCCCTCCCACCCGCCCTCCCCCCCCTCCCTCTCTCCTTGCGCTGTCTCCCCCTCCCCCTCCACCTCCTCCTCTCCTGCCTCTGCGCTCTCTGCACCTTCTGTACCCCTTACAGGATGCTGCGGTAGCATCCACTTGACTGCTGCTCTGGCGACCTTGTTGCAAGCAGGGGAGCCCCTGAGGAGGAAGAGGGGAAGCGGGATGGGCGGACGAAGGAGACAAGGGGAGAAGGGGAGGAGGGGAGGAGGGGAGACAGGGAATAAGCGGGAGCAAAAGGAGGGAATGGGGGAAAGAGGGAAGGGGAGACGCGGAAAAGGAGGGTGGAAAGGAGAAGTGATGAATTGTGGTACGCGGAATGAGGGAATGGGAAGCAAACTGGAATGTGAGAGGGAAAAGAGTCTGAAAAGCTTAGACAGGAAGTGTGGCTAAGTAAATGTGTGGTTGGTGGAACGGGAGGGAGGAATAGGTGACAGGTGGGTGGCAGGAAGAGAAGAGAGACAGCAAGAGCATCTCACCCCATACGCAGCAGCTGCAGCGCGGGGCAGGCTTTGAGGAGGAGTGTGAGGCCGTGCAGTGACACAGCATTGCATTCTCTGAGGGACACACAGAGGCATGAGCGGAGGGCGGGAAGGAGTGCACATGGGGAGTGGGAGGAGAGTGGGGAGGGAAGTGTGATGATGAGGGTAAACATGGTGATGGTTATGGTGGTGGGTATGGTGGTGGGTGCCAGTATAAGGCTTGAAGAGCGATAAATGAACCTTGACATCCGAGTACAGGAATGAACATCCGAGTGAAGTGTGAGGCTGCGATGAATGCTCAACTCAATGCCTTCTTTAGTGGCTAGCTACCAGGTGCTTTCCCAGGTCACCTGAAGATTCACCTGAAGACTCACCTGAAGATTCACCTGATGTCTCACCTGATGTCTCACCTGATGTCTAAAGCTACAAGGTTGGGGCATGTCTGTGCCACGTGGCACAGGCCTTGGTCTGACACGTCGGACCCACACAAGTCCACACTGTGCCACGTGTCATCCACCAGCGCCTCCAGCAGCCAATCAAAAAGCAGCCCTCGGCGCCTCGCAATGGCTGTCAGCGCCAGCTGTATTGACACGAGGACCAATGAAACCGAAGGAGGCAGGGAACGGGGAGGGGGGGATGTTGTCAAAGGGGAAGGGGTGGTGGGGGAGGGGGGTTGGTTGGCCGCTAAGAGTAGGAAAGAGTGAGCTTTGAGTTGATTGGATCATTGGAGATGTGGAGACGGGAAAGAAAGGAAAGCAGGGATACAGCATGAGCATACCCCACAAGAGCCACATGTGCATACCCCACAACAGCCACATGTGCATACCCCACAACAGCCACATGTGCATACCCCACAACAGCCACATGTGCATGAATAAACACACGCATGGGCAAACCCCCACGAGCATGGGCAAACCCCCACGAGCATGGGCAAACCCCTATGTGCATGGGCAAACCCCTATGTGCATGGGCAAACCCCTATGTGCATGGGCAAACCCCTATGTGCATGGGCAAACCCCTATGTGCATGGGCAAACCCCTATGTGCATGGGCAAACCCCTATGTGCATGGGCAAACCCCTATGTGCATGGGCAAACCCCTATGTGCATGGGCAAACCCCTATGTGCATGGGCAAACCCCTATGTGCATGGGCAAGCCCCTATGTGCATGGGCAAACCCCTATGTGCATGGGCAAACCCCTATGTGCATGGGCAAACCCCTATGTGCATGGGCAAACCCCTATGTGCATGGGCAAACCCCTATGTGCATGGGCAAACCCCTATGTGCATGGGCAAACCCCTATGTGCATGGGCAAACCCCTATGTGCACGAGCACGTGTGCAAGGGGAGGCACATGGCTGCCAGTCCGCCCCAACAGCCACAGCCACATCCACTCGCATCAGCCCCAAGCCCTGTACGCGATGCAACACACGCACCCACCTAGGCCTCTCTCCACCATGCCCAAACATGCAATCTACCCACCGCACCCATGCACCTAGCCTAGACTCTGCGCCCATGCTAATCGCCACTGCCCCACCAGGCCCATGCAACAAATGGGCATGCACCCACCCACCCTACCCACTGTGCTATCTACGTGCCCACTAACCCGGGCGTGGGGTGGCAGCAGTGCCACAAAGCCCCTCAAGTCAAACTCGTGGGTGTCCATGCGTGGGGAAGGCAGGAGACGAGACAGCCCCTGTCAGCCGCTACTAGCTACAAACATCCCCACCCCCACCCCGACCCCCATCACCATGTTGGCCCATGCAAACACACACCCGCGCGTGGGGGGGCAGCAGCGCCACAAATCCCCTCAAGTTGAATTCGTGTGCGTCCATGTCCATGCGCAGGAGGTGCGGCAGGTAGCGCCCCACCTCGCCCACACACAGCTGCAGTAGCGACGGCACAGCAGCGGCTGGACGGGGAGGTAAGCGTGCATAGGGGGGCACGGGAGGGGGAAGGGGGAACGTAGGAGGGAGTTGAGGGGAAACGGGGGACATAGGGGGGAGTGGAGAGGAACGGGCGTGGTTGGAAGGGAGGGAGTCAAGGCAAGAACCACCTCGCCCAAGCACAGCTGCAGCCGGGACGGCACAGGGCGGACTGAAAGGGGGAAGGGGGAGATGGGGTGGGAGGGAGGGGGAAAGGGAGGCGGGGGAGGGGAATGGGCGTTGTTGAAAGGGAGGGAGGTGCAGCAGGTAGCGTCCCACATCGCTTTTGAGAATTCTTAAAAGTGATTTTCAGGTAGCGTCCCACATCGCCCACATACCGCTGCAGCAATGGCAGCACGGGGAGGGCTGAAAGTGGGTGGGGAGATGGGGGGACAGGTGTGGTTGGAGGGGAGGGGTGAGGCAGGTACCGCCCCGCCTCGCCCATGCCTGGGCGCACGGGGTGCTTGAGGGCAGAAAGTGGGGGGGGGGGGGGGGGCGCAAAGAGGAAGGTGTGGGGGAGGTGGAAGGAAGAGCAAGGTGTTCGTACAGGGATAATTGAGGAGCCTCCAAGAAAACAGATTCAAGTTGTGGGGCACAAAATCAAGCGACGGGGGCATGTGGGCAGCGGGCGCGAGAGGGCACAGGAGGCAACGACCCACCCAACCCTTCTCCCTTTATCCATCCCGCGCCCTCTACCCTCCAACCTCATCCCCACCTCAACCCCACCTCATCCCCCAACCTCGACTCTCCCTCATCGTTACCCGCCTCCGCACAAACCCCTTCATCCCCCTTCCGCGCATTTCCTCAGTGTGTCCCCATCTCACCTTCTCGCCCGCGCATCCCCGTCGCGAAAGTTAGTCCCGATCGCCCCGCCGCCATTTCCTGCTTGTTCTGCGCGTCGCTCGCCTCTTCTTTCAAGCCGCCTCTCTCGCCGTCTGTTGCGCCGCGCGCCACGCCGTCAATCGCGGGCCCTGCGCGACTCCCTACCAATCCGTCAGAACCAGACTGTGAAACGTCGTGCTCGCGACGCAAATAATCCGGGGCGGCGCCGCCTAAATCTACGGCGGCTCGCAGCGCGGCCGCCTCCTCCGCTAACGACGGCAAACGCGGTGCCGCTCCGTTGGTACCCGCGGTGGCAGAGGCGGGGGTTGCGGCGGGATTTGGTACGTGATTCGCGGCGGGGACTGCGGCGGAGTCTTGGCAAAAAGCGCAGGTGCAGTCGGGGGTGCCGCGACACCGATGATTGACGACGGACGTGGGGAAGCGACGTCGCGATGCCATCTTATCGCACCCTTCTCACGGAATTTACGGTGTGAGCAGGCAGTGCAGAGGGACGTGGTGTGGTGTGGGACTGACAGACGCAGAGGAAAGCGTGTGAAGCAAGAAAGTGCAGCGAGTGGAGTGATGAATTTGATTGATTCACAAATTATGTTATGATGAGTCTAGTCCAGGGTTTAGGTCCAATGATTGTGTAACCGTGTTCCGCATAACCAGCGAAAAGACGCGTCGCTGATGATTGATTGGGGCCTGCGGTTGCTTCGGATCTGTTACGACGCCCACCCCGTTTTGTAAATATTTAATATTTAGTTCCTTATAAAACCGTACTAGTTTCAACAGCACATAATTCGCATACTAGCCATATGTAACCCTTGCTAGCATAGCAACATAGCAAACAAATAGCGGCCACCAACACCAGTCCATATAGTACAGTAAACCCCACCTGTAAAACAAAACAAATGTTTGCTTCCCACAGCCCCTCATTCCCCCACCCCCCCTATTACCGTACAACTCAATTGGGAACCTGTTACCACATTAGTTCGAGCTCCCCAGAGAAGCATCACCTGTTATCAACGCTCTGTGACGAGCCCGCGAGGCGCGATTCACGGAACACACTGAGCTCGTAGGTCGTTGTGTAATCTCCACCGTCCGTGCCCAACGCCAGCAGGCTTGCCATGGCCTCCATGTATGGCGTCTCCCCCTGCCAATCCTCGTCCCTGTAGCTCCCTTTCCCTCGTCATCTCCCCTGCATCTCCCTCAACCCTTGGCAGTGAGATTGAGGCTCTGAGACGACCTGACAAGGCGCTATGCACCCAACACAGTGAGCTGAAAGCACGTGGGGTAACTAATCGCCACCAGAGCCCCCTGGAACATGTGCTTTCCCCCATCACTACAATCCTCTCCAATCCCCCCAGCCCATCCAACCCCCTCAATCCCCTCCACTACCCCCCCTGCACCGCATCAGAACGTGTTGGCAGTGAGCTCGAGGCTACTGGACGACCCCACCATGCGGGACGCACCGAACACACTCAGCTCGTACGACGTGGAGCCATCACCACCATCAGAGCCGTATGCCAGCAGGCTCGCCATGGCTTCCATGTACGGCATCCCCGCCCGCCCTTCCTCGTCCCCTGCCCCCCCTCCATTGCTGCCCGTGCCGGTACCCCCGGTACCCCCGGTATCCCCTCCAGCACTGCCAGCATCTGCTGCTGGGTCTGCGCCTGCTGCTGGGTCGGCTCCTTTTGTCTTTTTTCCGCCGCTGTCCCCGCCGGTTATTGCTCCCTTGCCGCCCTTGCCGCCCTTCTTCCCACCTTTCCGGCCCAGAGTTTGGAGGGATAGGGCTGCTGTTTCTGCTTTGTCCTTTAGTTTACTTGAGAGTGGCGTGCCATCGATTTGGTTCGGCTGGGCTACACCTGCAGTGTTGCTTAACGAGGCGGTCTTTATGGAGGATGAGGATGCTGCTGCAGACAGTGACTGTGGATGGTTCTTGCCTGCAGTTCCTCCCTTCTTCCCTCCCTTCTTCCCTCCCAACTTCTTCCCAATAGCAGCAAACGCACCACCCAACGCCCCTGCCACACCCCCCCCTCCACCACCCCCACCACCACTCCCACCAATCACCCCCGGAAGAAACTTAGAATTCCCCTTACCCCCCTTCTTCTCCGCCCCACCCCCGCCAACATCCGAACCCACCTCCCCGGCACCAGAGGGGTACTGCAGACCAGCAGCAGCGTCAACAGTGAGGTAGCCCGCACACGTGAAGAGCCCCATACGCGGGTTGGCCCAGCGGGAGTGGGCGCAGTGCAGCGGCAGGGCCGGCATGCCGTGGGTGTCGTTGTAAATGCGGAGCAGCGGCGAGACTGGGTCCTCCTCTGGGTCGACTATTGCGATGACATAAGAGAGGTTGTATTGAGAGGCTCTGGTGGTGGTGGGAGGGGTGGGAGTGGGGTGAAGGAATAGCGGCGGTGAGTGCATGCAGCAAAGAGAGGGTCCCCTTCAGGGTCGACTATTGCCACCACGTGGGAGAGGTTGTATTGGGAGGCTCTGAGGGCGGGGTGAGGAAGGAGAAGAGTGGGAGGTGGGGAGGGGGAAGGGGAGGCGAAGGGGGGCAAGGGGGTTGTTGTGAATAAAAATAGTGGTGAGTACAAGCCACGTAGGACAGGTTGGACTCGAAGGGTTGTGAAGGGTGGGGTGGGGTTGGGGGGGGGAATGGGTGGGTTGGGAGGGTGGATGGGTGGGGGGGTAAGTGGGCAGATGGGTGTGAATAGATGGAAGCAGCACTGGCGGCATGCTGTGGGTGCACTAGTGCCGTCACATAGGAGGAATTGTTGTGGTGTGCAGACGCGAACGGTTGTGGCGTGCAGACGCAAATAGTTGTTGAGGGGACAAATGGGCGCCTTTAACAGGAGGAAGTCGGCAACTGAGCTGAATGCACGCGAATGGGTGTAGATATATGGCTGTACATTACATCAGCTGTTACAAGCGGTTACAAGCTGATACAAGCGGATACAAGCTGTTACAAGCTGTTACAAGCGGTTACAAGCTGTTACAAGCGGTTACAGCCGTATATAACAGCTTGCATGCACAGGGCACTCACTCAAAGGTGATGTGCAGATAAGCGCCGCCTGTCATGGCATCCACGAGCGCAGCGCTGAAGAGAGGGCTTTCCAAAGGGGAGGCAAGGAGACCGGGGTTGCCTGGAGGGTGGAGGGGGACGGGACGAAGGGGTGTAGCGCGCTTGAGACGTGTCGAAACTCGAGAAGCGCCGCCAGTCATTGCATCCACGAGCGCACTTTTGAGAATTCTCAAAAGTGACATAAGCGCCGCCAGTCATTGCATGCACGAGAGCAGCGCCGAAGAGAGGACTCCCCAAAGGGGTGATGAGGAGACCGGGGTTGCCTGTGAGGAAGGAGGGAACGATAATGGGGGAGGGGGGGTTGACTTGGGCCGTGCTTTGGTTCCTTTATGCGGAAAAAAAAAAAAAATATTAAAAAAAAAAAAAAAAAAAAAAAGGGGAAAGTGGAGGGCATTGTGGGAAGAGGGGAAAGGCGGGGACAGTAGGAAGGAGTGCGGAGGGTGGGAGGGGCGCAGACAGAGTGTGGTAGTTAAGGGGTAGCAGTTGCAGTGAGCATTCAAATGCAAAGAAACGATACCCTTGTCACACCCAACACTCTTCCTTCCACCAAACCGTCCTCTACCCACCAAACCACCTTTTTCCACCAAAGCCACCCTTCCCCACCCACCCAAGCACCCCCCACTCACCGAACTTCCTAGCGTTGCCCCTCTCGAGGCTGGCAACGGCCAGCTTGGGTGGCTCGTCCGAGTATCCCGGGGGCGACACCGTTTCCACTGTGTACTCGCCCACCAATTGCGGCCTGCCACCTGGCGCCAGCTCCTTGGTCATCGAGTCCGTGCCGTCCTGGAAGAGAACCGAGCCGTAGGTTTCCCAGACCGTTGGAACCACTTTCAACCACTCTGTACCTGGTGGGAGTGAACAGAGGCGCGCAGGTGGCAAGTGGAGGGGGATTGGGAGGGGCGTGGGAGGGGTGTTGAGGGAGGGGTGTTGGGGGGAGGGGGGGGGAGGGGGGAGGGGGGGGGCGGGGGGGAGGGTGGGGAAGGGGGTTGTGGGAGGGGTAAGTTGGGGTAGACGTGTAGAGGTGTGGCAGCAGTGGCAGCAGTGACGGGCCCACTGAAGGGAGTCTCGGAAAGGGAATAGTGGGGAAGGGTGGGGAAGGGGCGTTAAAACGGAAAGAAAGAGGGTGTGATAAGGGAAGAGAAGTGAAGAGCGCTTGAGGGAGGGAGGGAGCGAAGAGGGGGGAAGCAGGAGTGAGGGAGAAAAGGGAAGAGGAGGGGGTGGTTTGCGGAGGGAACAGAACGAAGAGGATAACATACGAGGGAAAGAAACGAGGAAGGGAAAGGAGAGGGGGAACGAGGAGGGAAAAGGGAAGGGAGGAGAGAGAGGGAGCAGATGGCACAGACCACCAGCGAGGCGCCTTGCCGTACCTCCGCTCCCTGCCGTACCTCCCTACCATACCTCCCTGCCATACCTCCCTGCCGTACCTCCCTGCCGTACCTCCCTCCCGAACCTCCCCACCGTACCTCCGTTCCCGGCCAGCGTCTGCAGCTCGACGGCGGTGTCCTTGCCGGCCGGCGCGGACGGCAGCATGGAGGGGTTGCGGTAGAGAGTCACGTTGTAAGGAGGATTCCACGAGCCGCCCACCGTCAGCTGAAACTGAATGCTGGTGAGGTGGGGGGAGCGGGGGTGGGGGAAAACGGGTGGGGAGCAGGGGGGAACGAGATGGGAGCGGCGGGGATCGGGCGGGGGGAGCGGGAGGGGAGCGGGGGTGGGTGAGGAGTGGGGAGAGGAGGAAGGAGGCAGGGGATGAGGTGAGGGAAGCGTGGAGCGGTTGCGTTGTGAGAGTGCTGCTGAGCGGTGGAAAGATGGAGAGAGGGTGAGAGAGACGATGCGGAGAAGGTGAATGCGGTAACCAGTGTCGGGAAGAGGGGGGGGTGGTGGGCGGGGGATAGGCGGACGAGGAATATGCGGAGGCGAGAAAGCGGGGGAAATAGGAAGAGAGAGGGGGGCGACCCAGTCGATGCGCTCACCTCTCCGCTACAGCAATAGCCGTTATGCTCTTAGTCGACGTCCCGCGCGCCATGGCGGAATAGAAGGCTGGCGGGGGACATGGCGGAGAAGAGGAGAAGGGAGAGGAGGGTGGAAGAGAGGGGAGGGAGAGGAGGAGGGGGAGGTGGAGAAGGGCAAGTGGAGAAAGTAAGAGGGGGAGGTGGGTGGTGGCCAGTAGATTGCTGAGAGGCGTGCACGTTGATAGATACACACGGACATGCACTCGCGCACGTGCGACGTGGGCGACAACGTATGGACGATCGAACGCGTGTTGTAGCTGTGAAACCGTGTAACCACACTGTTCGCTGCTATTTGCCGCCACTCTGTCGCAGCTGTTCGCACCTCTTCGCTTGTCGCCCATCACCCTTACTCTCGCGGCTCGATACTCTTCGCTCGTCTTATCGCGTTCTATTGCCCATGTTAAGTCAATTCCGAAGTTGTCGTCGTCAATTCCGCAGTTCGGCGAAAGTTAGTCGTCCATCGCTTAATGTCGCACGCTCATTGCGATGGCTGCTTTCCTCCTCTTCTTGCCCGTGGGCTCGCCGTTTGCTCTTCGCCTACAGCCTTCGCCAATAGACTTCAACTATACCCTTCGCCCGTAGCTTTCGCTTGTGGTCTTCGCCAATGTATTTCGCCTGTGACCTCCTACGTACTCTACCCTGGCCTTTGCCTTTCACCTTCGCCTATGACCTCCGAATAGGGTCTTCGCCAATGGCTTTCGTCTAAGGTGGTAACCTCGCCGTGTCGCTCACCTAGACCCGCGCTCTCGTCTCTCTTATTCTTGTTCTTAGGCTTGCCTTCCGCCGCGGGGGAATGCGCGAAAGCGAGAAACGCTGCGGGGAACGCGGAGATGTGGGAGAGGGGAAGGAGAGGTGGGAGGGGAGGGGGAAGGGGGAGAAGGGGTGCGGGGGGGTTGGGGGGAAAAAGAGGGACGAGGAGGGTAATTGGCAATAGGTGATGGGGATGAGGGTTGAGGGAATGGTGAGAGGATGTTGAGGTGGATGGTGAGGGAAGTGAAAGGACGCGAGCCGCGCAGAGTGGACGCTGAGGCGACGCACGCGAGGTTTCCAGCTAGGCAACTCTAGGACCTCATTACGCTGCTTTTGCTCAGAATAGACATAAGCTCGAAACGGCACCCGGCGAGAGACAATCCGTTGGGAGACAATGCTTTGAAAGAAGAAACATCAGCTGCGAAGGGGGAGAGAGAGAGAGAGAGAGGGAGGCTGGGAGGTTCTATAGCGAGTCGGCTCTAGTGAAGTTCTGGCTACAAACGCGTACATAGGATGAGCGCGATGCAGCATCGCCGTAGATGCGCTTGATTCGTACAGTGCCGCAAGCGAGCCATGGCTCGCGCGACCACCTCTGAAGGTCCTCTGGATTATGTAGACTTTACAGCTATGTGATGGTGAGGCCCGGATATGTGATGTTAACGACTATATGATCAGTAGTTAATATTATCGCTGATAAGCTGACTCTGATTTTCGCGCGAGGTTTGCAGCGAGAGAAGCTTGCATAAAGCGTCCAGGGGAGTGTTGCTAGTGCAGGGTGAGCAAGAGGAGAGTGACATTATGGATGGAGGGAGACTTGGAGACGAGAAACGCTGCACTCGTTCATCAGGGACTAATTGGATTGGACAGGTGTTCAGTACGGAGAGGGGGGTGAGGTTTGGGTAGGACTGGGAAAGGGAGCAGGAGAAAGTTCAGCGTTGTTCAGTTGCGCGACGTGGGTGAGTGGCAGATGGGATTTGGGCGGAACTGTACAAAGAGGAGTGTGTGTGTGTGTGTTTGAGTGTGCTGATTCCGAAACGAGGACCAACCGTGTCGAAACGAAACCAAAGGAAACCAAAGTAGAAAAAAACTGCATTTAAAACAGCATTGAGGTTCCGTAAAGAGAAAAAATGTTTGTTTTTTGTTGAGGTTTTTCATACAAATGCAACAACAGATTAAGCATGTGCTGATGGGGTAAGATATGGCTGCACCGCATGAAACTCAGGGAGCTCCGGATCGTGAGTTCTGCTCTAGCCCAGACAACCCCTACGGAGGCTGGCTCTCTGGGATTGTCTGCCCAACAAGCTACAATGGGCAGATTTGTCGGGTAATCTGACGTGGCAGGTGGAGAGGTTTGTGAGATGGGTTGCCGTTGTACTGTAGCTTTGGCAGGAGAAACTGCAGACAGATGAAGGCAGATCGATGGAAAAAATCTTACTGTAGCACATGCGCTCGACGAGAGCTGTAACGACAAATCGTTGTTCAGGTCATACCTGCGCTTCGTCAAAGCACAGAAACTTAAATACTGTAGCGGGAGCATCACTGTTCCAGGTCAACGAGTTGTCTCACATTATAGCATAGTGGAAGTGCAATTCGTGAAGTCACATAATGAAGGAAGATTTCAATAAAACAGGAAAACACACAAAAAAAAATTATGAAGGCATGCAATTTGTTGAAAAAGGAAAAGAAAATGTACAATGTGATACTAAACACGAGAATACCAAGGTGGGAGATAATGTGATGGATGGAGGCCCTGGTTCAGGCCAACGACAAACAGATTCAATCCACTATCCACTGTAACAAGGTGAGATGCATCACGATTCACGTCACGACACCAATTTTGTGAAAGGGGTTTGATGGGGTAATACGATGAGCTTTGGCTCATCTTCCACTTGGGTGACCTCACCAGAATGAGCTCATATGGAAACTACGGTACCTAACAAAAAGGGTTTTCTGGTCCAAGCTTTTTGTTGATGATGATTCTAGCTATTGGTTGCAAGGTCACCAACATAGAACTCTTCCACTTGATCGAATACACGGGATGCATGTTGAGGCCTGCAACAAAACACAACAACACACAGGGTAGCAAATCACGTTGTTAGCACATATACACCTGCCCTACGGTACTAGCCCTGAACACAAAATTGTAGAAACCCCGAAAGAAGCCCTCATACCCATAGAAGCCTTCCGTTGCATCCCCTCCTGCGTTGTTGAGGATAGAATCGCCACCCGGATGCTCATCCACATATGATGTCAGATCGTACACCTGAAAAAGACGAGGGGGAGAGAAATCCATCAGGAGACAGGAGACACAAGAGCAGTGCACCAACTTTGAGGCGCCTCAAAAGCCAACCCCGTGCTCAACCACATACGATGTCAGATTGTACACCTGAAGGGACCAAGGGGAGAGAGATCGTGCATGGGTCAAGAAACGCAAGAGCCGTGCACTTGGATAGTGACAATGATGAGGATGGCACTGCCACGAGGGTGCTCATCCAGATACGACCTGAGATCATGCACCGCAGTGACCAAGGGGAGAGAGATCCCCCAGGGGACAAGAAACACAAGAGCCGTACACTTGGGAGACCAGGAGGCACACCAAGGACCATGCAGAGCACGCAGGCACCATCCGTACATAGTCATCATGCGCCCTCTGTACTGAACAAGTGGTGACAAGTGGAAGCAGTGCTAGCTTTGCACATAAGTAGAGCACAGGGCACAGAGGGCAGCGCATGGAAATACATAGAACAGGCAAGAACCATCAGTACATGACCACACGTGATTGACTCTGTAATGATCGGGAGGTGACACGTGGAAGGCAGTGCCAACCCCGCCACAGATGATGCTGTGAGTGGAGGAGGAGTTGACTCAAAACGCAGAGTTGCTCATATCCCAGTGTTGACTCAAAACCCAGAGTTTACTCAAAACCCAGAGTTGACTCAAAACCCAGAGTTGACTCAAATCCCAGAGTTGACTCAAATCCCAGAGTTGACTCAAAACCCAGAGTTGGCTCAAAACCCAGAGTTGACTCTAAACCAGCGTTGATTCAAAAGAGAGGACCCGACTTTTGAATCAAGTAAAAAAAAGGGAAAAAAAATTGAAGGAAGTCAAAAGAGAGGAGGAGCAGCAGGCACGTGTGGCACCTTGTTCTTGATCATGACCCAGCAGTCGCCCTTCTTGTTGACTTGAGTCAAGTCTACGAGGAGGAGACTTTCGAGTCGATTCACAAAAGAGGAGGAAAAATCTGAGTCAAGTCAAAAGAGAGGAGCAGGAGGCACGTGCGGCACCTTGTTCTTGATGATGACCCAGCAGTCATCCCTCTTGTTGTGCCTCGCTACCTCCTCCTTAGTGTACACCTTGGTTTCCTTGGCGGCCTGTCAGATGGATGAAAATGTCGATACAATGACGGATAAACGGGCAGATGAACAGGTAGGAGAAAGGGCAGAAGACAAGGCAGATGCTTTTCAAAGAGCAGAGAAACGAGCAAAGGATGGGAAGATGGTTTGATGGGAGGAGAGAGGTGGAGGGGGTATGAAGAAGTGGGCGATGTGCGGAGATGCACAAAAGCAGACTCTAGGAACTGAATGCTCTGACTCACAGGTGGATTATCTTGTTGCGTGCTGCTCTGCTTTCCTGATTTAGTGTGGGTACATGTACCAGCATTGCCAGGAGGCGTAAAAAGAGACAGCAACATGCACGAGGAGAGACATGTATGCAGGCACAGGGACAATTGCGCACACGAACATACCCAGAAACGCACACACACACACACAAAGACACACACACGCACAGAAGGCAAAAACATTACGGTTGAAGGTACAGAAGGCACACACACAGACGTGATAGAGGTGCAGAGAATGGAGAGGTTCACGGGCTGTGGACAGTTATCGTGCACGGGTGCACGGAGGGATGAGATGGAGGCGTGTGTGGGGTGTTTTAGAGGGGAGAGGCTTGTGTGGGGTGTTTTAGAGGGGAGAGGCGTGTGTGGGGTGTTTTAGAGGGGAGAGGCGTGTGTGGGGTGTTTTAGAGGGGAGAGGCGTGTGTGGGGTGTTGTAGAGGGGAGAGGCATGTGTGGGGTGTTTTAGAGGGGAGAGGCGTGTGTGGGGTGTTTTAGAGGGGAGAGGCGTGTGTGGGGTGTTTTAGAGGGGAGAGGCGTGTGTGGGGTGTTTTAGAGGGGAGAGGCGTGTGTGGGGTGTTTTAGAGGGGAGAGGCGTGTGTGGGGTGTTTTAGAGGGGAGAGGCGTGTGTGGGGTGTTTTAGAGGGGAGAGGCGTGTGTGGGGTGTTTTAGAGGGGAGAGGCGTGTGTGGGGTGTTTTAGAGGGGAGAGGCGTGTGTGGGGTGTTTTAGAGGGGAGAGGCGTGTGTGGGGTGTTGTAGAGGGGAGAGGCGTGTGTGGGGTGTTTTAGAGGGGAGAGGCGTGTGTGGGGTGTTTTAGAGGGGAGAGGCGTGTGTGGGGTGTTTTAGAGGGGAGAGGCGTGTGTGGGGTGTTTTAGAGGGGAGAGGCGTGTGTGGGGTGTTTTAGAGGGGAGAGGCGTGTGTGGGGTGTTTTAGAGGGGAGAGGCGTGTGTGGGGTGTTTTAGAGGGGAGAGGCGTGTGTGGGGTGTTTTAGAGGGGAGAGGCGTGTGTGGGGTGTTTTAGAGGGGAGAGGCGTGTGTGGGGTGTTTTAGAGGGGAGAGGCGTGTGTGGGGTGTTTTAGAGGGGAGAGGCGTGTGTGGGGTGTTTTAGAGGGGAGAGGCGTGTGTGGGGTGTTTTAGAGGGGAGAGGCGTGTGTGGGGTGTTTTAGAGGGGAGAGGCGTGTGTGGGGTGTTGTAGAGGGGAGAGGCGTGTGTGGGGTGTTTTAGAGGGGAGAGGCGTGTGTGGGGTGTTTTAGAGGGGAGAGGCGTGTGTGGGGTGTTTTAGAGGGGAGAGGCGTGTGTGGGGTGTTTTAGAGGGGAGAGGCGTGTGTGGGGTGTTTTAGAGGGGAGAGGCGTGTGTGGGGTGTTGTAGAGGGGAGAGGCGTGTGTGGGGTGTTTTAGAGGGGAGAGGCGTGTGTGGGGTGTTGTAGAGGGGAGAGGCGTGTGTGGGGTGTTTTAGAGGGGAGAGGCGTGTGTGGGGTGTTTTAGAGGGGAGAGGCGTGTGTGGGGTGTTTTAGAGGGGAGAGGCGTGTGTGGGGTGTTTTAGAGGGGAGAGGCGTGTGTGGGGTGTTTTAGAGGGGAGAGGCGTGTGTGGGGTGTTTTAGAGGGGAGAGGCGTGTGTGGGGTGTTTTAGAGGGGAGAGGCGTGTGTGGGGTGTTCCAGGGAACAATCCTAGAAAGAGGAGTGGGTGTGAAGACAACAATCCTAGAAAGAGGAGTGGGTGTGAAGACAACAATCCTAGAAAGAGGAGTGGGTGTGAAGACAACAATCCTAGAAAGAGGAGTGGGTGTGAAGACAACAATCCTAGAAAGAGGAGTGGGTGTGAAGACAACAATCCTAGAAAGAGGAGTGGGTGTGAAGACAGCAATCCTAGAAAGAGGAGTGGGTGTGAAGACAACAATCCTAGAAAGAGGAGTGGGTGTGAAGACAACAATCCTAGAAAGAGGAGTGGGTGTGAAGACAACAATCCTAGAAAGAGGAGTGGGTGTGAAGACAACAATCCTAGAAAGAGGAGTGGGTGTGAAGACAACAATCCTAGAAAGAGGAGTGGGTGTGAAGACAGCAATCCTAGAAAGAGGAGTGGGTGTGAAGACAACAATCCTAGAAAGAGGAGTGGGTGTGAAGACAACAATCCTAGAAAGAGGAGTGGGTGTGAAGACAACAATCCTAGAAAGAGGAGTGGGTGTGAAGACAACAATCCTAGAAAGAGGAGTGGGTGTGAAGACAACAATCCTAGAAAGAGGAGTGGGTGTGAAGACAACAATCCTAGAAAGAGGAGTGGGTGTGAAGACAACAATCCTAGAAAGAGGAGTGGGTGTGAAGACAACAATCCTAGAAAGAGGAGTGGGTGTGAAGACAACAATCCTAGAAAGAGGAGTGGGTGTGAAGACAACAATCCTAGAAAGAGGAGTGGGTGTGAAGACAACAATCCTAGAAAGAGGAGTGGGTGTGAAGACAACAATCCTAGAAAGAGGAGTGGGTGTGAAGACAACAATCCTAGAAAGAGGAGTGGGTGTGAAGACAACAATCCTAGAAAGAGGAGTGGGTGTGAAGACAACAATCCTAGAAAGAGGAGTGGGTGTGAAGACAACAATCCTAGAAAGAGGAGTGGGTGTGAAGACAACAATCCTAGAAAGAGGAGTGGGTGTGAAGACAACAATCATAGAAAGAGGAGTGGGTGTGAAGACAACAATCCTAGAAAGAGGAGTGGGTGTGAAGACAACAATCCTAGAAAGAGGAGTGGGTGTGAAGACAACAATCCTAGAAAGAGGAGTGGGTGTGAAGACAACAATCCTAGAAAGAGGAGTGGGTGTGAAGACAACAATCCTAGAAAGAGGAGTGGGTGTGAAGACAACAATCCTAGAAAGAGGAGTGGGTGTGAAGACAACAATCCTAGAAAGAGGAGTGGGTGTGAAGAAAACAATCCTAGAAAGAGGAGTGGGTGTGAAGACAACAATCCTAGAAAGAGGAGTGGGTGTGAAGACAACAATCCTAGAAAGAGGAGTGGGTGTGAAGACAACAATCCTAGAAAGAGGAGTGGGTGTGAAGACAACAATCCTAGAAAGAGGAGTGGGTGTGAAGACAACAATCCTAGAAAGAGGAGTGGGTGTGAAGAAAACAATCCTAGAAAGAGGAGTGGGTGTGAAGACACCAATCCTAGAAAGAGGAGTGGGTGTGAAGACAACAATCCTAGAAAGAGGAGTGGGTGTGAAGACAACAATCCTAGAAAGAGGAGTGGGTGTGAAGACAACAATCCTAGAAAGAGGAGTGGGTGTGAAGACAACAATCCTAGAAAGAGGAGTGGGTGTGAAGACAACAATCCTAGAAAGAGGAGTGGGTGTGAAGACAACAATCCTAGAAAGAGGAGTGGGTGTGAAGACAACAATCCTAGAAAAGAGGAGTCGTAGTGGGTGTGAAGACAACAATCCTAGAAAGAGGAGTGGGTGTGAAGACAACAATCCTAGAAAGAGGAGTGGGTGTGAAGACAACAATCCTAGAAAGAGGAGTGGGTGTGAAGACAACAATCCTAGAAAGAGGAGTGGGTGTGAAGACAACAATCCTAGAAAGAGGAGTGGGTGTGAAGACAACAATCCTAGAAAGAGGAGTGGGTGTGAAGACAACAATCCTAGAAAGAGGAGTGGGTGTGAAGACAACAATCCTAGAAAGAGGAGTGGGTGTGAAGACAACAATCCTAGAAAGAGGAGTGGGTGTGAAGACAACAATCCTAGAAAGAGGAGTGGGTGTGAAGACAACAATCCTAGAAAGAGGAGTGGGTGTGAAGACAACAATCCTAGAAAGAGGAGTGGGTGTGAAGACAACAATCCTAGAAAGAGGAGTGGGTGTGAAGACAACAATCCTAGAAAGAGGAGTGGGTGTGAAGACAACAATCCTAGAAAGAGGAGTGGGTGTGAAGACAACAATCCTAGAAAGAGGAGTGGGTGTGAAGACAACAATCCTAGAAAGAGGAGTGGGTGTGAAGACAACAATCCTAGAAAGAGGAGTGGGTGTGAAGACAACAATCCTAGAAAGAGGAGTGGGTGTGAAGACAACAATCCTAGAAAGAGGAGTGGGTGTGAAGACAACAATCCTAGAAAGAGGAGTGGGTGTGAAGACAACAATCCTAGAAAGAGGAGTGGGTGTGAAGACAACAATCCTAGAAAGAGGAGTGGGTGTGAAGACAACAATCCTAGAAAGAGGAGTGGGTGTGAAGACAACAATCCTAGAAAGAGGAGTGGGTGTGAAGACAACAATCCTAGAAAGAGGAGTGGGTGTGAAGACAACAATCCTAGAAAGAGGAGTGGGTGTGAAGACAACAATCCTAGAAAGAGGAGTGGGTGTGAAGACAACAATCCTAGAAAGAGGAGTGGGTGTGAAGACAACAATCCTAGAAAGAGGAGTGGGTGTGAAGACAACAATCCTAGAAAGAGGAGTGGGTGTGAAGACAACAATCCTAGAAAGAGGAGTGGGTGTGAAGACAACAATCCTAGAAAGAGGAGTGGGTGTGAAGACAACAATCCTAGAAAGAGGAGTGGGTGTGAAGACAACAATCATAGAAAGAGGAGTGGGTGTGAAGACAACAATCCTAGAAAGAGGAGTGGGTGTGAAGACAACAATCCTAGAAAGAGGAGTGGGTGTGAAGACAACAATCCTAGAAAGAGGAGTGGGTGTGAAGACAACAATCCTAGAAAGAGGAGTGGGTGTGAAGACAACAATCCTAGAAAGAGGAGTGGGTGTGAAGACAACAATCCTAGAAAGAGGAGTGGGTGTGAAGAAAACAATCCTAGAAAGAGGAGTGGGTGTGAAGAAAACAATCCTAGAAAGAGGAGTGGGTGTGAAGACAACAATCCTAGAAAGAGGAGTGGGTGTGAAGACAACAATCCTAGAAAGAGGAGTGGGTGTGAAGACAACAATCCTAGAAAGAGGAGTGGGTGTGAAGACAACAATCCTAGAAAGAGGAGTGGGTGTGAAGACAACAATCCTAGAAAGAGGAGTGGGTGTGAAGAAAACAATCCTAGAAAGAG